TAGCATCTTTTATTTGTTTATATTGTTTGTTAGCTTGTAACTGGCAGCGGCTGACACAGTGCTAATACAAACTCTCTCTGTACTGACAAGGTTTCAGGTAAATTTTTTTGAAACCCTGGCTCTCTGAATCTGTTTTTATGATACTGTCATTGGTTCACTGCAGTTCCAAGGTGTAAATACTCAGTCATGGTGTTGACTGCTTATTTTGCTCATGCTATGTCTTGTATTATATAAAAAAAAACACCATATGGACATGTTAACAAGGTTAAAAACTAGATTTTCATTAGAGGGGGTCTTTAAGACATAACATGCACTATATGAATTTTCCAAAATATTGTATTTGAAAGTAATCCAAGGTTCTGCAGAATCGTCCAATTTTAATGTTTTGTTTAATGTGTCTGCCGGTCAATAAAGAAGGTGATAAAGAAAAGGTCAGAGGATCAAAATGTGAGGTTTCCTCCCCAGAGTGGGACTCAAATATCAACTGCAAATTTCAAAGGATTCCTATCATTACATGTGGAGAGAGCTTGTCAAGGACCTAAGTGTTTGTCAATAGGAAATTTTGACCTGACAGTGGTGCTGTATGAAGGGTCACAGGGTCAAGTAAATCATTAGAAGCTATCATCCCAAGGCTACTCATATCTCCACTAAATTCAAAGGGATAGGGGCAGTGGCAGTTGTGGAGCTATTCTGTAGTTCTAAGCGTACTAAGGTGGATGAAGTGTATCAATAGATTAAGATTGCTGCCCCTAGTAAAAATAAAAGAGCAGATGAGGTGTCTAAATGTCCTGTCAAAATAAATGTTATCTGATATTTTCTACAGTGAATTATTTTTATATGCTTCACTGCAAAACTGCAATAATTAAATTTCAATTCAACGACAAAGTGAAATAAAAATATTGATAATAATAGATCAGTTAATTATGGAATTAAACATTTAGAATTAAACACTTTAATTAATGAAATGAACATTTTGTTGATTTTATTTGTTCATTAATGTTCCGGTTTAGTTACTCTGTTCAGTTTTAAACCGACATTTAATTCAATGTGTTAATCATTTTCAGTAAATACAAAAAAATTAGTAAATACTGAGGACAGGCACTCAAATGCAGCAATTTTAGATGTTTTCATCCATACCAAACATCATGCAGTATGATATTAGGTTAACAGCATTGAAATTAGACAGAGGTAATGCAAATATTATCTGCAATGGGAATTAGGTGATAATGACTATTATAATTATTATAATTATTATAATTATTATTATGCATGTTCTCCCCGTGCTTGTGTGGGTTCTCTCCGGGTACTCCGGCTTCCTCCCACAGTCCAAAGACATGCAAATGGGGACTAGGCTGATTGGTTACTCCAAATTGACCATAGGTATGAATGTGAGAGAGTGAATGGTTGTTTGTCTCTGTGTGCCCTGCGATGGACTGGCGACCTGTCCAGGGTGTACCCCGCCTCTCGCCCGAAAGGATGCTGGGATAGGCTCCAGCCTCCCCGGTGACCCTACTAGAGGATAAGCGGTAGACAATGAATGAATGAATGAATAATTATTATTATTATATCAAGTCATAGTCATAGCACCACCACATAGCACCAGAGTTACAGTCATGGTTTGATTTACATGAAATTTTCATAGTTTGTTCTACACTTGAATTTCCAGGAACATAATGCATGTTTGGTTCATATTCTCTAGAATATGGATAAAAGTAGTAATACAAAACATGCACATCATGTCCGCCACCACACAGCCCATGCAGGACATCACATTTCACCATTTTACTTGACCATGGTGTGCGATAGTCGCAACGATGCTGCTTGCGTTAAACAGCCTCCTGCCAGCCCCACCGACTTGCACGACAATGTGAAGGCCCGGTCAACACTGCCTGCAGCTTTAATAACATTAATAATTATAATAATTATAATAATTAAAATAATAATAATAATCAGATTTACTGTATGTTTGATGCAAAGGGACTCACACCATAGATGGCTGCAGTGTCTGTTTTAGTCTTACCGGGAGTTTTGAGCCGCTGGACAATGGGCAAGCCACATACCAACAACTTCACAACTGCAGTTTTTTTGTCTCTATTTTAGTACTATTTGACTGGTCCATAGGCTTGTGCAGTTCCTGGTCCAGACGGGAGTGGGCGGGCCGTTTTAATATGTTTGGCTATGATCTACCAAACAGTTTAAATATCACTACCTCGTAGCCAGTTAAATTTGTTTCACTTGGGTCTGCCCCGCCCACTTCCCTATCGCTGCTGTCAATCAATCAGACGCCTCACATTAGCACGTGATGAAATGGTTTAATCGCTGTCATAACCCCTAGCCACTGTGTCGGTGCGTAAAAAAGTTGGATAAAAAACATGCTATGAAATGTAAGGGTGGTGCTTAGAAGTTGAGAGAGAAGAAAAAGAAGTCGCTCCAATTAGGTGCAGCAAAGTGCCTTAAATTTACCGACTTTTCGTTTGGTGCTAATGCTAGTTCTGTACCAGTGCAGACGGCAGTGAGGAAGACGACGAGGGTACCCTCAGTACTAGCGGTGACATGGGGTGAACAAGAGCCCAGTGAGACAGACAGTAGAAATGAAGGCAAGAGCAAAGTCAGAGCCAGCACAGCGCTCACAGCCCAGACGAAGCTCCGGTGTCATGGTAAGGTGGGCAAAGATAAGGCTTATTTGGCTAGCTTGCTGTTAAGTCATAGTCGCTAGTCAACAGTTATCACAAGTGTCAGTGAGACATAAATATGTTGGCTTGCTGTTTGAATAGCTTAGAGATTAACCACAAGTCAGATATTTTACTGGGTTTAATCAAACAAAACTACTAAAATGATCAGTCTTGGCCAGGTATAAATTCTCAACCTGCTTTAACTACTAGCTTTGCTCATTGACACTGTTTATAGTTTGTGATCACTCTCATCATTAATTATCTGTTACCTGCACCAGAGCTGTGACATCAAATCCTTTTTGGGGTCTGCATGCGAGGGCAATGTCATTGGGTGTAAGCGTAATGTGATCGCACTTCAACTGTGTTTACTTTCTTTTATTCCCTTGGTACCCAGAAATGGTGGGCTATATGCGTATTTATATAGCTGGAGTTACACTCAGTTAACTTCTCTTTCACCTTGTCTCATTACTGAATAATAGACTTATTTACGTTCATTCATTCACTGTGACAGAGGGTGATGGTCACCGTAAGCGAAGGGTTTGCAGTGGAGATGGCTTTGGTAGATGTGTGTTACTGAAGAAGAGAAAATTACTTAAAGTCTTTCTCCACCTTCTTTAATCTTTTCTTCAGTCTCAACAAACTCCATCAGCAGTAGAAACTTGTTGGAGGAAACTCAAGCAACCAAATCAAAGCTGCTGTTGTTCTCATTGTACTGTCAATCATTGTGCACGCAGGCAATTGGAAGTGATTACATCAAGATTATTTGAGTAAAGAAAAAAAAAACAACAACCAACAGGGGACTAGTTTGCTCCTACACAGTCCATGGTGGACTGTTTAGCCGCCTCCCATAGTCTATTGCAGAAACTCCCTTGGTAATGACAAGGGCCTTTTGGTGATTGTAATAATGCTATGGATAATGGAAACAACCATAATAATATTGTATTATAATTATATTTCTGGGATGGACTCTGCCATCCTCCTCCCTTCCCCTGGGCTTGCCCTCTTGTGTTTCCACCCACCTCTGTGGTTGTGGATGTTGGTGAGGGGCTTGCTTTTCAAACTGCAATCCCACAACATTCAGCTCGCCTCCACCTCCAATTGTCAGTGTGATTATTAAATTCCTTTTCTTTTTTTTTTTTTTAGTTTCTCAGATCAGATTGTTAGATTTTTTCTTTTCTCTCATTTTTTTCCTCTTAATCTTCCACCTTGCACACATGCATTTACACATACATACATACTCACCCCACCAACGCCATCACAACACTACCACACACACGCACCAGCACAATTTACCTTGCACTTGACAAACTCGATGAACTTATAGCCTCCCACGCCTTCAGTGTTGTTCGGTTGCTGATCTGTCTATCTGTCTTAATGCCTGTATTCTCTGACAAGTCCACCATTGTTTAATTATGTCTTTAGTTTTGTTATATTGCACCAATAGAAAATGGGAGGGAGGGAATGATTTTTTTTTTCTGAGATACTACTCTGCTGTTCAATGTGATGTTTTAGAACAGAAAAGGGTCCAGACGTCTACAGAGAAACATGCTTTTTAAAGAAAAATGTATTTTGGTTTATGTCTCTCCATCATCTTCTTCTTTTTTGTTTGAGATTTTAGATTTCTAAAGAAACTCCAAGAGCCCTGTTTCTTTTCAATTAGATAAAAAACTGCCAATACAAAAAAACAAGGCTCATCCACATACAAAACTGACTGATATCAGATAACAGTGACTTATTCTGGTTTCTTGTACTTAAAAGAATAAGAACAATTTAAGCCATGACAAAGAAACAGGAGTGATCAAAACTGCTGTTGCTTTTCCTTCTCTTCTAAGCTTGACTGATACCATAGCAAAAGAAGCACACTGCGTTATTGGCTGCCTTAATGGAGTAAGTGAGACTTCTGTTGTGTCATTTACAACAAAGAGCTCTAACCACATGAAACCAACTGATTACACCTCTGCATGGACACATAATCCCATCATTGCTGGGCAAATAAATAAATAAATAAATAAATGAACAAATAAAAGCAGGCTGACAGAAATAAATGAAGGCATTTGTCCAGACAATTGTTCAAGATAAATCTCTCAATATCCTATTACCACCTAAATAGCTGGTGAAGACACGTCTGACTTCAAATCATTCTTCTCTGTGCAGGGGTGTCGTGACAAGCCGTCCAAATTGATATGTTTTGTCTGCTTGTGGTTTTGCCCTTCGAAACACTTAAAGCAGCATCAGCCTATTTCTGCCACTGACTAATTGGCTGTTTTACAAACAGGCCGGTGTCTAAGTTTGTACTCAGCTGTGTTGTCTTTGCTTGTCATCCTGCAGAGAGCAGTGTCCTGCAGAGTCCTGTCTTCACCAAGCAGCCCGGCAGCATCGTGTATCCTGTGGAAACCCTGGAGAGGAACAGGGAGGTGGTGTTCAGCTGCGAAGCCAAGGGAAGCCCACCCCCCATCTACCGGTGAGTGTGTGACTGCTTGCTGCATTGATGTTGCTTGCTTTTATACCTCTGACAATGTCAACATCCTTCAATTGTAGACAAGCTATCACTGGCAAATGTCTCCATCTTGTCTTCAGCGATGTCTCTTCACATGTCGGCAGCTCTGAAGGGCAATAAGAGAGAACTATTCAATAACTTCAGTACCCAAAAATCCTGTTATGTACTGTAGCACGCTTCAGTTTTCTTCCAACTCAACCTGTAAGTGATGCTTTATACCAGGCAACTGTGGGCACAGACTCATCTGCACCCATCTGCTGATAGCACGCAAGTGACATGTCAAAAATGTATATGTCTTTTTCATATATGCTCCAATGTTATCTCAAAATTATTAAACATACATCAATGAGCCACACTGTTGCACTGGGTAACATGTCCCTTCATTATGATGAACATGAGCACTGTAGTTTATGTGGAGTCAATCCCATATATACTGTCATGCTGCTTAAATTCTCAGGACTGCACTAAATGTGTATTAATCCGAAGCTAAAAATAGCCCCCAACAAATACAGAATTTACTCCTATTTGAATAAAATTAGCAAAAAACGACAGTACCAGCAAAAAAAAAAAAAATCATAACCTGTTTCTAAAGCTTAACATCTTTAGTAGACAAATACTTTGATGAGATTTGTTGACAGTAAGAAATAGTATCCTTAAACTCTCTCCAATGATTGATTTCTCATATGTCCATTGAGGATAATTCACATGATCACTGAGAAGTTCTATAAAACTTCAGTATATATTTTTGTGTTTTTATACAGTATTTCTATAATACTGACACTATCTATATGTATTTCAAGATATTTTTGAGAACCAAAGAGAAAGGTTCACTGTTTGAGAGATAAGTATGAGGTGCTATTTTAGTCCCATTTTATGATTCAGACTCTTCAAACTAGTATTCTTTTCCTAACAAAAAAAAATCCTACAGCTCTATTTGACATAGTAATAGAAATGAAAAGTAGAATGAGTGAACTGTTTGTCAAAAAGTTTCACGGTCTCTAGGAATGGGAAGGAATATCAATGTAATTGTTGATAGTATGGAAGGAATACAAAGTGATTACAGAGTTATGGATTTGCAGCTTCCTCGTGTGGTTCAAACTCAGTCACAAACCAAAACAATGAAATGTACAACTGAGATCACATATTGTTCTTTTGATCCCAGGCAGTTTAATCCATACACTCTACATGACACCTCTGTTCTAAAACTAGAAACCAGCAAGTTTTTTAATCTGACAAAGCCTGAAGCTGCCCCACTGACAGTGAGTTAGACTCTCTTTTTTTTTGTCTTAAATGCATTTGGAGATTTTACTTCTAAGTTTGCTTTACTTCATTGTAGTCTTAACAGCTACAAAGCAGAGACGGCATCCATATCCTGTAACAACATGCTGGGTATTGTAATTGTGTCCTCAGATTCTGTCTTCTATTCATCCTGGATGAAACCGCGCCAGGATTTGTGTCCTGATGCAGAAACGAGAGAGAGAGAGAGAGAAGAAGAAGGAGTGAAGGAGACTGATGAGGAGAGAGGAGGAGATGAGAGAGAAGAGAGGAGAGAGAAGAGAGAGAGAGAGAGAGAGAGAGAGAGAGAGAGTCTTGGCTCTGTTGTTTCTAGCTTTAGAAAAGACTTGTTCATCCTCACAAATCAAGCCTGAGCTGATCAGGATCATAGGAATGTATTACATGAATTCTATTTTGTGGTGGATTTTCCCTTCAACTCTCTGCTGGAAACGGGTCTCCTCTATCTGTAGCCTGGAAATTCGTGTTAAGCTCTGCATGCACCCTGCTCGAATGTCTTTTTTTTCTTCTTGCAGAGTTCAACGAGCAGCTGTTTTTTCCTTCTTTATTTCCTCCTCACATGGACCATTAGTCTATTGAAAGGGTGTTCTGTTGTGTAGCGGCATCTCTGGCAAGCAAAAGTTCAGATCAATCATGTTTGCTCACTGAAATTGCTGGGGTAAGATTTGGAAGGATTGGTACATTTAATACTTGGGATTGAGCCAGCTTAGAGGGTGACCTAATCAGCTGTTTCCTGTCAAGGTCGCTGTGCGGTCCTGTCAGAGCGCTTGCCGCCTTCTAAAGACTATGTTGCAACAGCTAAGTCATGTTCAAAGTTTATTAATTGCATATCACACAGCAGTAAACTGTGACAGTTTGAGGTGCAGTGTTTACATTAAACACCAGGATAGAAGATATGTGCTCAGTATTATCTGCACTGAACCCAAATGTTGTATTTTAAAGATGAGAAAATGTTTTCCAGGAACTGAAGTGGCTGGTTAAAAATCCTTAAATAAATATGGACTAATACAGTATAAATATACACCAGCGTGTATCAGCACACTTGCCCTCTGTAAGGCCGAACCAGTAAGCAGTTCAACATTTTGGAGAATTCGCTCATTTCTTGCGAGAATGAGGGTGTGAAGATTGAGACCACTCTCATATCTATCTGTCAGAAATAAGGCTACAAATGTGGAAATCACATCTCAGCAACACCAGCGTCACATGATTCACAGAACTTGTGAAAAATACAGCCCATATACAGTTTACTCTCCAAGAAGGCTGAATCAGTTATCCAAGGAAAGCTGGAAACACCGATGCCCAGCCTCCGAAAGGACACTCTGTCTCCAACACAGAAACTTCAGAAGTACATGACAAAATGAAACATAAACAAGTTAACAGATAAAAACACATCACAGTCACAAAATACCATCACAAAAATAGCACATAAAACCTGGGTTAGAATTTTAAACTTCTCATACTGTTAAAAACTACAAAAACCCTCATAAAATACCAACTACAGAACTCTGTGACTCTTCTGTTTTTTCCTGATTCTCTTTCATGTTGTGTGCTTAATTTACGTTCTTACATTGAAGAGGCAACTTCCTTTCAAAGCTTGCCATCTATGTGTCTAGATTTCTTTGGATAATTGACAAAGATTCAGCCTTCTAATACAGTATTGTTTTTACACTTTCTATAAATCAGGCTGATGAAGGCCCTGCATCAAAGTGTGTTAGCTGATGACATAGCGACAGCACTTTCAGCAATTTCTTCAAATTTGGCACAAATATTCACTTTGACTCAAGGATGAACTGATTAGATTTTGGTGGTCAGAGGTCAAGGTCACTGTGACCTCACAGAACACGTTTTTGGCCATAACTCTTGAATTCATATGCAAATTATGACACAACACAAATGTCTAATAGGATAAAATAATGAAATGATAATATTTTATGTCCAAATGGTCAAAGGTCAACTTCACTGTTACATCATAATGTTTTGCAAAAACATTTCTAGCCAGTATTTAATGCTGTAACTCAGGAACAGATTGCGACCATATTTCCTGCAACTTAGCTGATTCGCAGAGGCATACAACCACAAGGCGGTAATTTTAGTTTAAACAGAGGGGAACTGCTAGTCTGGGTTTGTCTGAAGATGATAAAATCTGCCTAAGAACCTGTAAAACTCACTAATTAATGTGTTATATCTTTTCTAGTTTGATTGGTACGTAACTGAACTGTTAAAAATCAACAGTTCTAACAAAACACATTATCACATAACCCCCCATTAAAAGGCAAATTCTCTTTTTTATGCTTCAATTTTTATAGCTCCACGCTAGTGACAGCTGTGAGTAATTTCAAATCTAAATCAATAAATCAATCATACTAAACATACTAAAAGAGAGTTGATGTACAAATGGAATGGAATTAGATTTTTATGCCACACCTTACCCATGGAGGAGGGCATGTTTTGTGATCATTAGAATGACTTGTTTTCTGCTCTGAGTCAGTTGTTTTGTTTGTTGTTTCTCATGAAGCACTTTACACACAGTAAATGTCCTGTATTTGGATTTTTAAATAAAGCTGAAACAGATTAACTTTAGCTCTAATTATCTGAGGTGCAGCACAAACTCATACTTTTTTTTTTTTTAACACTTTAAAGCGCCAGGCTTAAGAAAAGGAACAGACCGCCTAACATTCAGAGCCTCATAAGCCAGATGGTGTGGTATTATGCCACTGTGTACACGGCCTGTTGTTACATGATTGCATAAAGCATGTGCCTAACAAATGGAACTGCTGTTGTGACCTGCTTGCCAGCATAAATCATTGTAAATAGAATTATTAAATAATCTAGTTTACATGTGTTTGATGTAATCTGTTGCTCCATACTTCTCACAGAGGAGGATATGCACTGACACAATCTCGGTATTCAAAGTTCCCCTTGTGCTGCTTTCTATCCTTGTTCTCGCACTGGTCTCAATTTATCTGGTGTTAGAATGTGCTTGAATTTCACAGACTTTTGAATATCTGTGACTTAGCAGCTTTAAAGTTGTTATCTAATTGGTTTAAAGCAACAAGAGTAGTCATAGGAAATTCAGTTTGTCACAAAAAGAGCAATGGCAGCATTGACTGGGCAATTATCTTTAGCTACAACTGTGTTTAACAACCACTCATACATAGACAATGTGGTACATTTAGGATTTTTTAGTGTTTTCCTGCAACTGGGTTAAGTCTGTGTCCTTTTTCAGCATTGGGCATGATTACTCACTCAGATACGTCAAAACATTTTCGAGGCTCAATTAGCAATCCATTCTAATGTTAGATAGAGCAAAGAATCAACGACTGTCAGAGAAAACCTTTTGCAACATTCACTTTTCAAGTTCTCACCCAATTAAACCGTTTCAATTTGGATACAATGCAGAGTTTCTCAGAGCAATTATAACTGTGAAAAGGGCTGCTTTCATATTGATGGGGTCCATTTTCTGGAAGGAAAAGCCACTATCTGAGTCTGATACTGAGGTTCAGAGTCCACTCTGCCTTTTTCATTCAAGTCGAAGGTGTCCTCAGCTGTAAAATATTTATGTTGATTTTTGTTTGTTTCACTTCAGCTGCAAATGAATGGCTTCTGAAGTCCTGTGAGACTGCAGCCACCCCCCCTCAGGCGCTTCTCTATTGTGTGTAGTAATAAGGCTCCAGAGAGTGTGCACTTACTTATGACTGAACTGGAGAAGGGCCATGAAAGACCATTGTGCTACACATTTTGTCTATTAAAAGAAAAATGTCTGTAGAGGCACTTTGTGAGTGCTGCAATGCCCAACCCACAAATTTTCTGCTGTTTGTGAGACGCTTCAGCGGGTGGGCGGGTAAGCAACACAGTCTGACATTGTTTTTCATGTAATCAGTTCCTACTTGTGCATTATGTGAATATCCTGCGCCGACTCCAGTGGTCATGCCACCGAACGTAGCTGATTCTCTACAACTAAAATAAGAAAACGAGTCGATCCTATAGGGCATTATACTGTAAAAGATATAATATAGCAAAGAACTACCACAATGATAACACAACCGCACTGTCTGTGTTTTCTCAGAAAGGTTCTAATGCCTCAAAGGCACCAAATTGGCACAACAAGGGGCGTTTAGATAGCAGTGCACAAAACAGCTTTGCACAACTTCTGTCTACTGTACAAAAGGGCTTTAGCAAAGCCCCTTTTTTTCACTTCAAAGCTGCTCTCTTTTCCAAATTAAACAAAGCACTGTTTTCCCAGCTGAACCCGAAATCATCCAGTGAAAATTAAAAAATCAAAGCAGGAGGAAATTTAGAACTTCTCCTCAAAGAAATAATCATACGCTAAATCACCTTGGGCCCTAATCAAATTTGCATTGTCCATTTTCCAATAAGCTATAAAATGCTCCTTTCTTGCTTGTTTATCTGTGCAGAACCTCTTATTGCTTTGATGATTAAACATCATTGATAACAAATAACAGAGGCTGAGAGCTCTTTTTTTTGTCCTGGCTGAAAGTAAGTTATGGCTTGAAAGCATTTTTCTGAAATGACTGATTTTCCTCCCACCTGTGTTTTGTCTAACAAGTTGCATCTGTGTGGAGAGATTGGAGAGTCTGTTGCCATTTTAAGTGAATTATACCCTTCGTTGATCACCCCTAACACCAATGATAATCATGTGGACCGGCCTAGAATGCACAAGTGTGAAGGCAAGGTTGCAGGCATTTGTTTTAATTGTCGCACTATCATGATTAAGTAGCATTTTTATGCAGTTTGACTGGGGTCTGGCAAGATGGATGGCTTGCAATGCTATCTATTCTCAGAGAGTCAAGTCCTTGGCACCATAGTGGTTCACTGCTGCTTAGATTAACACTAAGCTGGAGGGCATGATTTCTGGGCCCTCTCCACCTTTTATTTCTTTCCTGTTGAAAGACAATCAAATCTTCAAGTCACGTTTTTCTTGTAATCTGGAATGCCTCCATCGCCCAAGTCCACACTGAACAATGTTTAATTTGTTAATTTACATGTTAATGTTTCTCCATTTATTGTTTTTTCTTAGGTGGAAACTGAATGGCACGGAAATCAGTCCCAAATCTGGATCTCACTACAGCCTTTCTGGCGGCAATCTTAGAATCAGCCATCTGAACAAAGACCAAGATGCTGGAACGTATCAATGCCTCGCCTCCAACTCTTTCGGGACCATTGTCAGCCGAGAGGCCAGTCTAACCTTTGCATGTGAGTCTCATTTTTTTCTGTGTCTCTCTGGGAAAACTTTGTAGCTTCTGAGCTTCCACAGAAAAAGATGCAGTAGAAAAAAAAAGACGCCAGTCACACTTCAGGATAACATTGTGGCTTCTGCTTCTCTGGGGAGGTATTAACTCCCTGTATGTGCTGACTATAGTTGACGCTAAGTCATTACTGTAGATCAAACACAAACCTGCAAAAAGTCCAACTGAAGTGAAACTCAAAGCAAGGCTTCTTTATGGTAAATGAGCCGCCATTAGTGATGTCATCTGGTATTAAACCTGTGGTAGAAGACGCGTCTTTTACTGAGAGCTACTTTACTCAATATTTTATAATAACAATGTTTCAAATGAGGAAGCTACAAAGAATAATCACCTGAATGTGCAGCTCTTCTCAGCTTTACTGAGCAGCATGGTGATTTCCAGCTCATTGTTTAGCTGTTTGGCCCACAGCTTTTTGGTCCACTCTCTCTGCTCTCATAGAGTGTTTTTCCAGCCGTAGCAGGCAGCTGTTGTCTGAAATAGCTCTAAAAAGGCTCTGTACACTACCTGCTCAGTACCAAACAAAAGACAGACAGAATTAGCAACTATCTGGTGAACTTAGTGGAGCATTTAGCAACGAGAGCCAGATATTTCCCTCAGGAGTTGGTAGACAAAAAACAGGGGGGAAAGAAAGAATATGAATATCAGACATGATCAGGTGGCCACAAACACTACTCCAGGTGGATGGTAACGTCGCTCTGTAACTACTGCATGTGTGATAAGCAGCTGTTTGCTAACAAGTTAAAAGGTGATAGGTGAAATATGTCCATGTGGTGTTGACAACTTGTTTCTGCTTGTGGCCAAAAGTGGTTAAAAAGAATCTGTTTCTCGAAGTTAAGTAAAGTTAGAACTATCACAATGTAAAATAGTCGATTTCAAATAAAAAATTCTGCATTTAAGATCTTGCTTAAAGGTTTTAATTGAAGTGTTGATCCATAAGACGATATATTTGAGGTTTTAAGAACCAAAAACCATCTCAATGTAGTTTAACATCCCCTCTCTCAGGCTTCTCTCTGGAGCTCTGGGAACAATAGGTTGGTGAGCCAATCAGAAGAGAGGAGGCTCTGAGCCTTTCTTCTGATTGGCTGACTGTTTTCTGAGTGATCCAATACAAATATAGCAGATTTCAGGTAAACTCTCAGAGAAACCAAATCCTGCAAGGTTGGATGGTGGGTCCCGTGAGCCTTTCTTCTGATTGGCTGACTGTTTTCTGAGTGATCCAATACAAATATAGCAGATTTCAGGTAAACTCTCAGAGAAACCAAATCCTGCAAGGTTGGATGGTGGGTCCCGATGGGCGGGGCTTGGGGCATGGCTGAAGGCGATGGCTGTATAGTTGCGACATCACAAAGTTACAGAAGTCCTGACGGCTGGTTTTAAGGCTCAGTTTGTGTATACAGGCTGTGTGCATTTCTCTGTGGACTGAGTGCTTTAATAGTTACACAGTATTAATATAGAACCTAGACCAAGCTCTGGAAATCTCACTTTATATATATATATATATATATATATAAATATATATGTGTGTGTGTGTAATATGGGACCTTTAAAGCTGTTATGTTAACAATTGATCAAATGACTACGTGTAGTGATACATAGCATTAATATTGGTTATATGCCACTTGAGCCTGCTAGCCAGGTAACAGTTTGATCAGTTTAACTGGGATGTAGTAACATAATGTTAAATCTTTGCAGACATTCCGAAATGCAGAGTCAGCACTCTCAGTTTTGCGGATTAATATTTTTGTGATTATTTTGTGATGATAAGTGATTTCTGACTGTCCTGATGACAGATTGTAAGACGGATCTTGATGAATCTAACTGACAGCCTCTGGACTTCATATTCCTAAAGCAGGAGGAAGTCAATAAGTGCCTACTGTATGTGCCAGTTATCGGACAGGCATAAATGATGACTTTAACAGCAAGTGAGTGATCGCTTGCTCAGATTAGATTCTGAGGTTTAGCGTTTGGGGACAAGGCCACCAATATGTCTCAGGCCATTTGTTTGGTCCCCTGGACCAGTGGGAAGTCAATCCACAATCAGATTCTGCTGGTAGATTTCCACAATGATGGGCTGACAGTTCAATCAGTTGTTAGGCTCTGACCTTACCAGCCTTCAGTTGTCATGAAGTCAGGATGTGCATGTATGACCGAGTGTCATCTATCTTCTTTATTACTCTTGGTATAGCTTAATTAACTCAACGGCATGATTGAACGGTGAAGGCTCAAGCGGATAATTTAAAGGTCAACTGGTATTACTGGAAAGTGTCATGTAATTCTTTATAGAAATTTAAAGGAAATAAAGTACGAGTTCTGTCCTGCAGGGGGGCGGGCAGAGATATTCTGCTCTTGTAACGCAAGATGACCAGTGATATACACACCATGACCACACTTTAGGTGCAAGTGGTGATTCAGGACCTATCCTATTCCTCTCTGGTAAAGATCATGACCTTTTAGTGGTAATTAGTTTTACACATAATTTGACTGTGATTTTTACACAAGACAGACTTTGAGTTTTATTCATACCTCTATGAAGCCCAGTGGTAATTACAGCTGTCAGAGCTAAATTGGGAGTAATCATCTGGAACTATAAAAATGTAGATCTCCTACACCCGAAAGGTCAAAAGTCAAGACTATTAAAGATTCTCAAATCTTAGATCTAATTTTGTACCATTCTAAGAGCATCTTACCTCTTGATGTAATTGATGTATTTCCTGTTAGACCCCGTGGGACATTAACGCAGGGAGAGAGCATAAGAGTGTATTTGATTGAAGCATGAAGGGATGGGATAGTACATCTTTATTGGGTGACATTTTTTTGATTTACACCTAATCCCAACACTAATGTGTTTTTGATATAAAAACAAACCAAAAAATGAATGATTTTCTTTGTAATTGTTAAAGGAACTCTTTATTTTTCTTCAAATCCCATGAAAAGACGCATAGTAATAATGAATTGATCCTTCTTAGAAGTATTGTCTGTGTAGCCAAAGCCTGATAATGCTGTGCTTTGAGCTCCATTAGCAGACAACTCGTGTATTAATCCGCAGCTGAAAATAGTCCCCAACAAACAAACTATTTACTCTTGTTTGAGTATTGTTTGATAAAAACCACAGTGCCCAGCTGCTTTAGGAATTGAAAATGAAATTATACACATGTGTGATTCATTTTTAAAGATTTAAATTTTCAGAAGAATCTAGTGGGCTTGGGGCTAAGAGCCAAAGACAGGGAAGGGAAGGGGCATAAAGTGATTGTTTTGGGTCTTTTCATGGGATCAAAAAAAAAATGTAGAACATCCACTTATCCTTTAAGTAGATGTTATACTTCTTCAATAAGATATCTGTCATTTGAGCTTTTTAGATAGCAAGTACACATTTCAGAAATGTAAATTTTTTAAGATTAAAATACACTTGTAAAGTAGATATTAACTGTGCACTTTCCTCCTCACCATGGCAACAGTTTTAGAGAGAGATTCGTATGAACAAGCAGAGACAAGGAAGCTAATGATTAAGTTTGATGCTGCAAACTGTATGGACTCTACGGTTGTCTGTGTATGTCCTGCACAGCCCCACACCTACAAGAACTCTGCCCCAGGACAAACAGAACAAACACATACTGTACATATAGAGAGCTGAGGCCCTATATGTTAGAAATCGTACATAGTGATAGGAGGAGACACATCATTAGATGGATGCTGTACAGATCCAATATATAGTTTACCATATACTGTAGATATAGAATACAATCCAGCTGATAAGAGGATTACTGTCAAAAACCAAACTTTTTGGTATCCAGAATAAGCAACCTTAATTTTAGATACATGCATTTTTAACTATACAATGTGTTTTGAAAAAAAGGGTCAAAAATCTTAACTCTGCACGCACAAGTAGAAATACAAAAACTTGTTTTAAAAGGTTTTTTGTGTCACAGCACAGTGACAGAGGAAAAAATACTTCTCATGTATCAGCGGTGACTCTGCCAGCTATTCTTTTCCTGCATGCCCCAGTATGAGTCAGTCTCCATCTTCAAGATGGACCCTGTGAACGCACTGTTCCTAGCTACATGACTGGCAGGCAGCATCAGAAATCAAATATAGATGAGAGTTCCTTTCCTGGAGCTGACATGAGACCAAGTCTGTTTTTACGGGTCAGGACCTCAGGTGGGTCATACAGCATGTGGAGTATGTGTTATATATATTATAATAATTATTAGAAAATTATAACAATACCTTCTCTATATACTATATACTGTACTGTACTATATAATTCTAACTAACTCTACTAACTATAGGAAAAAAAGAAAATAATGGCTGTAAAATAATAACTATACAACACAGGGCTTTTGAAAAAGTATAATAGAGAGCTTAATTTTACAAAATGAAATAAAAAGTGTAGCTTATCTTTCCATTTTTCTTCTCTATGGTTAACTCCAACAGTTAACCAGCAGTCTCATCTCACATCTTAACAACTGAACACCTTTAACATATCCTTTTCTCTTTCTTTCCCTCGTCCATCCAACTTTGCACACTTCTGTCTCTGACGTCATCTTTGTATATGAATCTCACTCACTGACTCAAGTTGCAATGATTGGCTGAGTATTGTCATGTGACCAGTGCCGTAAAGGCTAAAAAAAGCCACCTTTAAGGATAGAAACGAAAATTTAATAATTCTCAGTAATTTATAGGTTTTATATCTGGGTCCAGATCTGGACCTAGATATATGTTCTGCCTATGAGTGATATCTGTTCTATTTTATCCATTTCCCTCATGCTATTTTATTGAATACAAAAGTGTACTCCAGGTGACATTACAGCTTCACTACTCTCTAAATGCTTGTATCAGCCCCCATTAATGTAGCTTTATGAGAGCCATTTGGAACCAGCTAAAGGTGGAGAGTGCAGGTAGAAGCTGATATTTGACGTAGCACAGATTAGATTAGATTCATTTTTGTTT